GGCGGTAGTCTTCTTTACCCAGGCCCGGGCCCAAAGGGGGTCCTGAAGGCGGGGAAGGGCGTGCCCTGTGGGGCAGGCCTGGGTGTGTTTAAGGACTGCTGCAGCGTCCGGCCTCAGCGGCTGCCCACAGGAGCCGGTGCGGCTCTCAGCCCCGCGCCCAAAACGCGCGCGGCTGTCCCCACGCTCCACCTGTTGCGCAGCCCTTAGCCAGCCTCCGACCACCCTGCCCCGCTCCCCAGCTGCACTTCCACGCCTCCGGAAGTGACAGATTTTTTTTTAATTAAAAACAAAACAAAAGTCACGGGTACAGGGTGGTCTCCCCAAACAGGTCAAGGTGGTCTCCATCTCGTGAGTCAGTTGTCGCCCTTTTTAAAGTGCTGGTTACATCAAGAGGTTACAACAAAATAGAGACAAAGCAAAACCCCAAAGGGACTGCAAAACGGGACAGGAAGTAGGTCCAGGAGAAGGAAGCAAAACAACATACAGCATAAATAAATAAAGTAAACTCAGTGCTGAACCAAGAGACTCACAGTACATGTATATCCATTGCACATAGCCACTTTGTCATTAGGAACAAGTTTCAGAAGTGGACGGACCGGCGCGGGGCCAGCGCCAGCCTAGTTGCTACATTGTAATCACAACTGGGGGGTCCGAGGCTGTACAGAGGCGAAGAGTAGTCTCCCTCTTCCCTTTTTTAACCCCCTCTGTCCAGTTAACCCCATGAGGTCCAATGCCCTGGAGTTCAACCGTGGGGCGAAATGGTATTTACACTTGGAAATGGAGCCGGGGCCCTGGGCTGGGGCTCCCGGGAGTGGGCGCCCGGGAGGAGGGCGGGCGGGAGGCTGTATTTACATCGGTCCGGTCCGAATGGCTTGTTCCTCGCTCTCGGCCGCCTCGGCCGCAGGTATTTACAGGAAGAGAGCAGCATGGCTTGAGGGCGCGTGGGCGCGGCGGGCCGGCCCTAGGGCAACAGCGGGGGCTTGAAGGAGCAGTTGCCAGTGCAGTGGCGGGGAGTCAGCATCTTGCAGGAGAAGTGGTGCAGGGCGTCGTGGGCCTCTGGAGAGACAGTCGGGCAGACCACGTTGGGTGCCTCACCTGCCTGGCTTCCCCGGCACGGTCCACCCGACCCTCTCCTCTGCCCGCCTGGGTCTCCTCCACCCTCTTCCGGCTCAGGGGTTCTCAAGGGAGTGGGTCGGAAGATAGGAGGATAGAAAAGAGACCCGGGCGGTTCAAAACCACTGCTCTGGTGCAAAGGCCCCACTTTACAGAAGAGGAAACTGAGGCACAGAAAGAGGAAGGTCCATCTGCCCAGGGCAAGAGTTGGACCTGAGGGCAGATTTCCCAATGCCCAGAGCTCAGGGGGCTCTTTCTCCCTATCCCACCCGTTCTGAAATCATTTCCTCATTAAAAGCAAATCCTGTTTTCCTCCTCTCAGCTTCTGATCCATGTAAACCTGGTCTTCAGCACCGTGGTTCCTTCGTTCGTTCGTTCGTTCGTTCATTCATTCATTCGATCACTCACTCATTCGATCACTCACTCATTCATTCATTCGATCGTTCATTCATTCTCCTACACAGCCAGTGTCTGGCATCTCCCCACCCCCCATCTTTGTTCCTGGGCTTCCGCACCTTTTAACTTCTGCTGGATGGCATAGCGGGCCTTCCGCTCTTGGTCGAGTTCGTTACACAGAGTGTCTGGAAGACATGGGAGGGGCCGGGGAGGAAATGAGTCCACCGGCCCGGGCCGGCGGGGTCAGAGCCCCAGCCTCACCCTCTTCTCAGCTCCCAGCCCCTTCGGAAAACAAGACTGGGGGCCGAGGGAGGAGGCATCAAGGCTCCAAACTGCAGCCTGACGGAGAGAGGAAATGGCCTGGGATGGTGCTTAGAGGCAGACGGATCTCACCAAAATTAAAGCGAACTTAGGCATTACTTCCCAGGTAATTTTACGCCTCGATTTTTAATTTAGAAACCATGGAAATTGCCGCGATAAGAAGTTCAATCACTCCATGTAATGATGCCTGCAAGCCGTTTGCTGGGCTCGCTTGCCATTCTGAGGCTAATCAGAGTATACAAAGGATATTAAATAAAAAAAATAATTGTTAAATTACCTTCAATTTAAATCCAAATGACTGAGCCAACATTGCGGCTCCTGCCAGACGAGAGGCAGTTATGGCCCGTGCACGCGCTCACCTGACTCCCGTCTTACCTCTGACAATTTGCAGCTGTTGCACCATTTCTTCTCGATAAGCCAATTCCCTCTTCATTTGATCCTGAAAATTATCTGTGCAAATTGATTAAGTGAGAGCTGTTAAGCACAGCCCCCCCTCCCTCGGCCCCATTTCCCCCGCTCCCCATCCCCCACCCCCACCCCCAGTCTTTGGTCTAGTGGGAAACCCCGAAAAAGGAGGGCTCCCGGTGTCCGCAGGGCGCAGGGCAGCGGCTGGCACTGGGGTCCTGGAGCCAGGCTCGGGAGGGAAGAAGGTTCTGGCCGTGAGGTGGGGTGGGGTGGGGTGGGGCGGGTCAGGATGGGGGTACCTTTGAGACTCTGAAATTCTCGCTCCAGCTTCTTGCGGAGCTCCATTTGCTCCAGGAGCAGTTTTTGCAGCTCGTCTGTGAATGGGCGAGAGTGGGAGGTAAAGGAGAGGGTTGCAGGACTCAGGAGGCCGAGAGGCACGCAGGTCCTGCCAAGGCCAGTAGCCCTGAGATGGGCGTTGGGGCGGGAGGAAGAGGCCCTCAGCACCCAGTTTACCCATTTGCTTCCAAAGGATTTGGGTTAGGAAAAAGGGGTGGGAAGTAAATTGCCCAGGAGAATCAAATCAGGATGGTAGACGGCACTTTCCACTTCCAAGTCCTGGCTCAAGGCACCAAGCAGAGTGGCCCTGCTTCAGCTTGTTCCCAGCTCCCTAATCTTGGAGGCTAGCACAGGAGGACTCAGTTTACCCCTTCAAAAGTGAGACCTAATCTTTCCCTTCAGTCATACCGGCCAGGGAGAATCTGGTCAAAGTCTTGGACCCCAGCCCTGGAAAAATACACATACTTACAACAGTTTGTTTACAACTTTATATGAATGCTATCAGCACAGCCCCAAATCCATGCTAAAAACACTCACATAAAGCGTATCCTGCAAAATCTGTAGCTACACAGAGTCAAAGACCACAGATGCTTTTCTCTCTCCCCACAACAGTTTCCAAGCTCATCCCTGGGCGAGTTTGGGGAGAGGGTAGCAGGCAGAGGTGGGAAACCCTGCTAGTGACCTCAGAAACCAGCTCCAGAGAAACGGCGGGGGCTGCCTTGACCATGGAGCTCTTGGCATCTGGGTCCTCCCCCTGGGGAGGCTCTCTGGGAAATCCTTCCCGAGCAGGTGCTCAAAAACACAAAAACAGCAAAGCGGGGTCAGAGGCTCCCCTCTGTGCCTGAAGTCACACACTCTCCCTGGCAGGCTGAGCAACACCCCAAGGACCCTATTCTGCAAATGAGCTGCTTCCCCACCCCATTTAGGGTGGGGTGAGTGGTTTTGCATTAATTCCAGGAAAAATTCCAGGAAAAAAGTTAACCCCTTGAACATTCCTAAAGTAGATGCCTCCTAGGAATCTTGCTATTCAGAAAGTCACGTCTTCCAGACCCAGCATGTCCTGATTGCCCACATGCATCAAGTTCCTAGGATCTTTACTCGCTTCTCTTTCTCACTGGGCTGTTTAGACAGACCTGGCCTTGGGAACGCACATTTCCAGTCAGCCCCTGGGGTCTGGTTTCCCCTAGCCACCCCCTCTCACACCCACACCTCTGCCCCAGGACAATGTGCCGGGTCATCCTTCCCCCTTAGTGAAGACCGACTGCCCAAGAGCCCTGTCTTCTCACAAACTCCAACAGGAATGACACCCTACAAGAGGGCCCCCCAGAGTAGCCCATTTCACAGATTTAACCTCACCCTCTACAAGAAGGGCCCCCCCCCAGAGTAGCCCATTTCACAGATTTAAGCTCATCCTCTATAAGAAGGGCAATCCCCCCCCCCCCACACCAGAGTAGCCCCATCTCAGGTTTAATCTCACCTCTGGCCAGGTTCTCGATATCTTTCTCCACTAGCTGCGTGGCAGTGACCTCCAGGGTGAGCCCATCTTCGCCTGGGATAGGACAGGTGAGAGGGGTTCTGTCTGGGAGAGGCCTTGGGAGGGGAGGGGTGAGCTTCCTGGGAACTGTGCTAAGTCAGGGACCTACTCCGGATTTGGTGCCATTAGAGGAGATAGTTACAGGCCAGTACTACCCACACTCCAAGCCAACATTTTAGGGATGTAACCATCATTTTAGAGAGTGACCCGTTGGAGGAGACCCAGGGAAGGGAGGCTACCTTAGAGCAGGGAGTGCCCTCTGGCCTGTTTTATGTGGGTGATGGTGTTCCTAATTCCTTCTGAAACGCTCTCTTACCCGGAAGAGCTCAAACCCACCAAGGAGGTAAGCGACTCAGGAGAGTGGCCTGCACCTGCCTGCGCTGTTTATTTATCTGCCAGCCGCAGAAGGGGCCCACAGCCGCCTACTCTTGGTGAAAGCTTTCCTCACAAGCCAAAGCCGGGGGGACTCTGGGCGACTTGGGTGCCAACTCCCGACTCGGCGTGCTGCCCGAGGATCCTAGGGCTCACCTCGGTCTGTGTTTGCAGGACTTGGCTGGGAGATACTCCTTTGGTCTGGATAGGATTTCCTCGTTTCCAAATCGTCGGCGGTCGAGTGATTGTCTTCCTTATCTGGCTCTTAAAGGCAATAAACCGAGTTTCAAGGAGAGGCAAAGAAACCGTGACCCCGATACAGCCAGAGCTGCTGCAGTCCGGGCGCCCGAGCCCTAATTAAAAGCTTCTCGGCCGCCGCTGCTCCATGCTGTGCGCCTGGGCTCGCGCCCTCAGGCTTTGGGCCGGGCATCCCCCCGCCCCCCACCGCGCGGTCTGCTCTTCTCGGTCTCCACGCCTCCTCCCTAGCCCCTCGAAAAAGAGCAATACAGCAACCGAGCCCACCTGGGACAAGCGACCTACATCGCGCGCAGATACTGGGGCACCGCGAGCGCGCGTGGCCGCCGGGTCTGCCTGCGCCGCTCCCGCGGAGAACGCGGCCCAGGCAGTGACCGCGGCGTGGTGGCGGCGGGGGAACCGCTCCTGGGCTTGGCCAGCCGGACTTCCCTCAGCCCTCAGCCTCTCATCTGCGAGCCACTGGGTCCCTCCGGCACGTGCCGGGCTCTCCCCACCCCCCAACCGCGCTGGGCCACCTCTGCCGCAGCCGGTGTACCCAAGTGCGCAGCCAAGTGCCCCCACCATGCGCTGGACCCGGCCAGTCCACGGGGGTACCTTGCGGCCAAAACCGCTTGCTTTATACATGAAAGCACTTGAAAGCGGTGCCAGGAGTGATCTTTAAAAGGCTTTCACCCAGTGTACGAGGTGTGGGTGAGCGTGTTTATGTGCTGGACAGGCAGGTTTGTTGTTAGGTAACCAAACGTTGGAAGTTGTTGGAAGTTCTCGCTTAGCGTCTTTTTTCTTTCATTTTCTTTCCCTCTCCTCTCTGTGGCTTTCTCTGCCTCTATCTTTCTCCTCTCGTCTTCCCTCGCAGACCTCCCCTGGCCCTCTGCCTGCTGTCCCCCCATCGCATTGGCCAGCGTCCCCCTCAGAGGGGTTGGGGGCGTTACCGTGGGCCTCGGGGGTGCAGAGGTAGGAGGCCGCGGGCCCCAGCGCCGCCGCCGCGCTCTTCACGTGCTGGTCCCGCTCGGGCGCGTACACCTGCGTCGGCTGAGAAATGACAGGCGGTTAGGGGGACGCTTGGCGGTGGCCGGGAGCCGCCTAGCCCGGCGCCGCGGCGGGGAGGGAGTGCGGAAGGGGTGGCGGAGATGCGCTCACGGGGCCTGGAGCGCCCCGGGCGGCCGTGCTGCGCACCGCACAGCCTTGCGCCCTTGGGGGCCGCTCCACTGTTGTTGTAGATTCAGGGTCATTATTAGCGCCCCCGAGAAAATCATCCGACACAGAAACCGGTTCCCGAGCCAAGGACTGTTCAAAGCCGCCCTCGCTCTCGTCGCCCACTTTTATCCCGCATCTTCCTCCCTCTCGCGCCGAGTCCCAGGCACAAATGACGCCTTTAGCATCTGACTAACGACTCGTGTTTTAATGGACCGAATGGAAATGTACAAGCGTGGGCACCCACTTTCAACCGGCCAACAATCCCAGTTTAACTGCAACACCCCCCCCCCCCGCACCTGTCCCAAAAATAAACCTAAAACCCAGAGAAGCGTTAAGCCATAGTGCGAGTACCTAAGAGCCAACCCACAGAGACAG